CTCCTTCCCATCCTCCTCCACGTCTCTTCCGCATCCTCCCAACTGAAATGTCAGTCGGAGGCCAGACATCCAAGTTCTGTGTAGTGGGAATGGCAGGAGCTGCATAACCAGGAATGCTCAATCTGGAATGTTGCAGCGTACCGTGCGCCAGACACCACGGATGGGTTGCACTGCAGCCAGTAAGCTGCCTCAGGCTGCTACGCAGTGCACTAGGCACGCGGCAAGCACGCCCGCTGTACCGAATTGCTATCGAATTGGTATTCATCGCGTGGCAAGATACAGGCAGCCGGAGCAGTGGGTCGGCATTGGTGGCCTCACCATCGCTGCCGCACACCCGTTCAGCCACACAAACAAGCTCGTGGACTGCATGCAGCAGGTGCTGGCGGCACCCTGTCTGTGGGCCCCATCAGGCTTGTCCGAACACACTTTTCTAATACTGACGTAGATTCACATGTCGCCGCGCCCTTTGTTCTCGACGCGCCCAAGTGGACGATGCCGACACCACGGCAAACCCGCAGTAAGCCCTGCGCCCCGCGCCCAAGCAGTCGAACCGGGCACCGCGGCAAACCCACGGCGAACCCACCGCGTCCGAGGCGGCGTTTGCCCTGGTGGCCGCAGCGCCCTCCCCAAGACGCAGGGCCGCGCGTCGGAGCAGACGGCTTGGCGACGCATACCACTGCATCCACTATCCAGAAGATGCGCCACCTGGCCCCCCAGATTGTTTAGGACCAGGCCAATGGTCGTTTTAGCACTCCTGGCCCTGCACTGCCCCTCGAGAAAGTCAGGGAGGCTCTTGGTGCCAGGACCGAGATTCCTTGCAAAGCATAGCGGGCTCCCGCTCCGAAGCAGATGGTGCTTCGCAAGTCCCACCAGCCTTTGGGGCGCTGGTGATTTAGCGGACCAGCTCTGCCAAGCAAGCCCAGTCTTCCCCATGACCTACGTACAGCGTTGTTGTTTTTAGTGTCGTGCTTCCGCCTACTTTCTCTTTCCTCCTCCTTCCCGCCTCAGCCCTCCTGCATAACCAGAACTAGTCTACTCAAACCCGCCCATACTCAGACTCACTCGTGTCCAAACTCACTCAGACCGAGTCTCAGTCATACCCAGACTCGCTCACACCTAGACTCATTCATACC